AGGAAAATATTAGTGATTATATAGGTGGAACTAAAATATATATCAAATATATAATATTTATACAATATTTAGAATTTATAATTTCATAAAAGTATTAACCTTTATTAAAAAAAGAGACACGAAGGACTAGAGTTTAAAAAACAAATTCAATATATATATATATATATTAATATATAGTGTCTATTCAATATTTATGAAAGTATTATACAAAAAATACAACTCTATTCAATATTTAGGGGGGTATTATATAAAAAAATAGCCTTATTTAGTATTAAAATTTGAAAGGCAAATCCAAAATATATCCATTCAAATACAAGAAAAAATTGAATCGAAATTGATATTTATTAATTAGAAACAAATTATTAATTAAAAATAAATTAGCAACTAAGAATGGACTTTGATGTTCTTAATGCTCTTGTCTTTGTACTTTTAATAGTTATAAGGGTACATTAACCACTAGGTTTTGATTTTCAATAGGTATTCTTGCTTTTTATTTTTAAAAAATGATCTTTTTTATGATGTCATTTAACATAATTCACTATGTACCACATAATCTAATTTTTTACGCGAGTGTCACCAAAGAGAAGAATTAGAGAGCTTGAGATAAAAAAGGGGAGAGCAAGAGTGGAAAAGAGGAAAAATTAAGAGAAAGTGAAATTGATGAGAGATTAAGATTTGAGTATTTTATTTATTTTACTTTTAGAATTAAAAAATTAAAAATTAAAAATTAATTTTTAAGTAATCTAATAAAAACTAAATAAATAAAGTTTAGGTTATTTCAGGTGACCTGACTCACCCATGACCCAACCAATTTGAATTCAGATAATTTCAATTCAGATCATTTCGGATTTCAAATTAACACATAAGACCCATGACTCTACTCATGACGAATGAATTGGGTCAGATTTTCGGATTAGGTCCAATTTTGTTAGGTCTAATACCAACTTGGTAGCAGTCAATGCATGCCTCCTTTGGCCAGAGGTGGCAATTGGTTTTAAGTTCAAACACAAGATACGTGGTGATCAAGTCTTTGAAATGATCTGGTTGTGGTTACTATCGAATATAAAAGTGATGGGATCAGATATCTTTTTTAATATGAATTTATTAATTTTTACTTTAAAAATGTGGGTTAATAATTTTTTTTATCATAAATATATATAAAAAAATAAAAAAATTAATATTAGTTTTAGCATTTTTGTCAAATGAATAAACTTAATTAAATGGTTAATATATTAAAAATCAATTTATAACTAAAAAA